AGATTTGCTTATGCAAACCTGAAAAATATATTTAATGCCAATCAACACAGTTTAATAGGATGGGCTGCTGCATACCTCTGGAAGACATTCCCCAATGATATTTGTAACAACTGGCTATGCTCTCTTCAAAATTTAAGAGCATGTGAATCAAACAGGCCACACAACTTTTCCCAGTTTCCTTTACAAATAAACTACAGACATTAATACGGCCACAGAAGAAGAATTTACAACTCAAGTACACAAGACAGTGCTGACTCGCCAAACTCCCATCTCTCTTTCCCAAGAGCTCTTCATTGTGTGGGCATTTCTAAGTTTTCAGATCACCCCTTCAGCTACGCTCCTCTTATCAGAAGAGCTGTTTGATGGTTTACTTCAAGAAACACACGTAGGAAAACCAATTAGACAAGCACGCATCTCTGCCTAAGTTTCTTCACAACACTTTAGTATTTCAGCCAAAATCCATTTGGGCTGCTCAGAGATAAGGCATCTCTTTCTGAAAGGAGTCCATACTTGCTCATATACACAGACTTCATATGTAAGAGACAGCTTCCTATGTGTAGCTTCCAGTTTTATCATTACATCAATCTTACTGATAATGCAAGCCTTTCAACAAGGACAGGCACTTAAAACTAGGATTTGTCCACTTTCTGTAAAATTCTCACTATAGCAGTGTTGTGATTAAACTACTGATCCATCTCTGATAACCAATTATTCCCCATTCCCAGTGGGGATCTGAAAGAAGTTCGCCTTTTGAAATGAAAGAGCAGGCAGAGAATTCTAGAGGCAATATTTATTAGTTGTCAATCAGAATCACATAACAATACAGATCTCTCTGAAATCCCAATGCAGATCCTGTCAAACCTGTCTCATTTGATGAGATTCATCAGCTTTGGTTGATACAAGTCATGGTGCAGATGAAAGATTTCTGCAAGTGTGTTTGCCATGGTATCATGTGACATTCGTACACAATTAGTACTATGGAGAGTCAGTAGAGCACTAAGTAAATGAAAACTGAAAAATACTTTAGGTGTGTTGGTCAAAGAAACCATTACAGAACAGATGCATTCTACTGCGGGTTTAGCAGCAGTGCCTATTAAGGTCACCATTACCATCACTGGGGTGGAAAGACAGTCACTGATGATACGATTTGTATATAAAACATTAGCAGACAAGTACATCAGGAGGACAATGCTGTCATATTTAGCGATCTAAACTGCTTGGGAAGACAAGCCCATTCAAACAACACTGGGTAATGTAGTTACAGAGGCCAGCTACTCATCAATCAAGGCTCTGGGCTCCTGCTGAATATCAACTTAACAAAGTTGTTCAGTGACCTATAGTGAGAGTCAGCAGTTCCTGACTCAGCTCATTATGCAGAGCTCAGGAAGGAGTGCAAGCCCATCACTTCCTAATCCAGACAACTACTGCTAGAGCCAGGCTGCATTCTGGAGGGATGCTGGGAGAAAAGGCATATTATCTGACTCCTCTCCATCTCCACCCTCCACAACCCCTCCCCCCTCAAATAAAACAGCAGAGTTATGATGCATTCAGGTACCATCCTAACTCAAGCACCATTTCTAATAAAATGTGTTCATATCTCTTTGAAATCAGCAGTTCAAAGTAATCAAGTAAAATATAAAGACAACTTTTTCCAGCAGTCTCAGCCTTAAGTTTTTGGAGATTTTGTAGATAATTAGCAGTTCACACTATCTCTTCCTCCCCGTCCAGGACATGATATAAGACAGCCCAGCTCAAACTATCAATATTTCAAAGAAAGTAGGTTTTTCCCAATGCAATAAAGGTACACTTTCTCCTGCATCATATTGAGAGCTATAATCTTGCTGTCTTTTAAGTGTTTGTCCTCCTCTTTCAGTGTATCAGAGCTTCAAAGACAGAAAGGAAAATGTCAACATCTATAATACTCCTAAGTTCTTAGGAGTCTTTGGCAGGAGCTTTGTATTTCAAGGTTACTGAAGTGTCTTTGAAAGGTTTTCCCTGCTGAGATTGAATAATATTAAATAAATAAATATGTAAAGATTATGCAAGTAGAATAGAAAGTTTCAGGCAAGCTCTCATAATACAAGCAGAAATTGAAAAACTATATTCCACAGTGGACAGAAAAGTTAGCTATTACAAAAATTATCTTAACATACAATCTGTTTGTTTGAAAATCAGTTGCAATGAATATTCTGTATGTCCAAAGTCCCCAGTTGTGAAAATTTGCCACTACTGTCTTTAAAATACATAATCTCTGAAAACAGTTTACTGAAACAATTTTGCTTATAAGCAAATATTTTATTTTTACTATGGTATAGTCAAAAATCCTTCTGAATAACACAAGAAAGGAAAATAATTGTAATAGGATTAAAGACAGGCACTGAAAACTAGGAAAGCACAAATGTAATTCAACAGGTTAAAAGGAAACCTACTGGAATTCAAAATTTTTGTTTTTAAATGGACAATCTGGGCCATACCTAGAAAAATAAGTGCAGATTTGCTCTGTTCCCTACGTCGTTCAAGAGAAAGACTCACAGATTGTCTTTGCCTGACAGAAAAGAACTGTTACACAATAGTAGGAAGTCATAACGCAATGAAAGCAAACTCCAAATAAACTATACAGGAAAGCGATTCCTTTCTCGCTGGAGTAACCTCTTTTAGAGCAAGAGTGGCTTTCTTTGGCTTAGTATAAACTTCAAAGTGATAAGCTCAATTAAAGTTACCTGTATTCCAGAATAAAAATCCCTGCAGAGAGTTATAGCCATATCTGCTTAAATTCATATTCAGTCTTGCTCAACTATGATTTTTCTGAACAGTCCTAAGATGCAGGCTCATTATGATCAGTCTCTGTAATGCTTGCTTATACTGAATACACAGAAAGACTGTACCCCAACATTTGCTAACATGTTTAAATCTAGCCGTCTGTACCTACTGATAAATATGTATAATTTAATAAAAATCAGAGTTGTTACAAGCCCCCTTATCACTAATAGCTTTGCAAGAAGTTCTGAGGTCAGTCTTTTTTAACACCCTGTATTCCAGAATAGCAGGACAAAAAGTTGTCATATAGATTCTACTCCTTTCAACACTAGTAAAATATGGAGAACGGGAGAAGCATTAGATGAAATCTTAACTCTCTTTAGAGGTGAATCAAAAGATATTCAACATGCCACAGATTAACCTTTGATTAATATTTTGAAATAAAAATATAAAAGTCAGAAGGTTGTTTGTTTTTTTTTAAATGAATGTGTTGAAACAGTAGAAGTTTATTTCAGAGAGGTATGTTATTCAGAATCATTTCACAGGAAAAATTAATTAAAATTAAGACTCAAACACTTTGCTTCTCCATTTCTTAAGCATGGTTTGAAATGAAAAACAACAAGGCTGAACATTTATACTTTCTTAATATGCACTCATTATAAATATGTTTAGTCAATTAGCACTATATTTCACAGACTGCAGTTGCAGAGTTGGCAAACTGAAGATCGAACTTGGTTCACTGACAAAAATACCATTTCACACATTGTCAGTTTGCTGGTTCTATGAAAGTAATCAAGCTGGGTTCTCCTTTGTATGCATGACATCAGAGTCTGTGCAAAGCCAGTCAATTGATACTACTAAATGAGGTTTCCCACATGCAAAGAAATAGAAATCCAGTTCATTCTGACTTCAGCCCTACAGATCTAACAAGTAACAATCAAATATTCAGATTGTAGTCAGTCATTTAAAAAACACAAACTTTAAGATTAAGCATCTCAGTGACAGAACTCCAACCATTTATTTCAAACACACACAAAACATGGCATTATCTGATGCCTGCACAACTCTAGCATAGTGATATTTCAGATTTTTCTAGCAAAGAATATGAATCCCTAATAGCTTTCTTTTGTGCACATTGTATCACCTTGCAGATATAGATACATAAACTTTGGTTAAAGACCGAGCAAACAACCTGTAACCTTCAACTATCTCTTTCCTTTCAGGCACTCATTCTATAGGCAGAGATAGAGCCACAAAGTGTGACACTGTGACAGCAGACAACTGGGGCTTGTAAACAGTAACTGGTTCAGCCCCTGCATAAAGCTTCAAATGAGAGTTCTCTACCACGATGACATACATATGACTTAAAACAGGCAAGTATTATAATAAGAATTTGTAAATATTACCAACTTAAGAGTAGACTTACTGCATAATTCCTTGAACATGACACACAGAGCCCTCAAAACCCCACACTGAACATCTGTTACCTGGGAAAGCCTCTCATTTACCACTGGAATCGGTGCAGTGATTTAGAGAGCTGAATATGTGTTGTGCTTTCTTTGGAGTTCTTACTGTCACCCATACTGCTAACCACAAGTGCCAAAGAACATGCCACAGCTGGCATAAAACAGATGATCGACAGTGTTATTTTAATCTACTGACAGGAAGGTTTTAAGGTTTTGCTGAATGAAGGTGCTGAAAAGGTCACAGATTATCAGTTCCTGCTAATTATTAGCACATTAATAGTTGTAAAACTATCGAAAGTGTATGTACTCCTCAAAACAGAAATAATCATTTCCAGTTTATGAGTAATGAAACTAACAGACAGCATTAAAGAAAAAGCTAAAGCTGCAAATTGACTCAAGCTACAAAGTGACTCAAAGCAAAGAAGGATCAGCAAAAAGCCCTTCGGTTCCTGGCTCTCCACCAAATTCTCAGCCAGTAAAACCAAATGTCTGTAAAAATATCAGATGCCTATCCAAACTTTGTGCAAAGCACTCACCCTGCAAGAAGTCGAAAAAAAAAACCTCGCAAGAACAAAATACAGATTGTTAAAGCAGACTCTTAATGCTTACCGAGCTAAGGAGGGGGTGGCGGGGGGGCGGGCAAGGAAAAAAGGCACGAAATTCACACTTTCCCAAACAATCTCAGCCACCTCCCCTCCCAAAAGAAATCAAGTCTGTCACATCCTTATACCCCCGGGCTGGAAGCCACAGGGAGAAGGACGAGGCGGCGAGCATTACCTGCCAGCGGCCGTAGCTGAGCAGCAGCAGCGCCAGGGGGATGGCGGTGCCCGACATGGCGTGGGTGGAGGGCATGCTGTACTCGGAGTTGTAGAAGACTTCCAGCTTCACCACGGGCGGGGAGGCAGGCCGCGGCCAGCGGATGACATCCTTGGTGCACTGCCCCAGGTACATCACCCACACCCAGATGATGATCAGCCTCCGGCCCAGCCAGGCGTCCAAATTCCAGATGCAGAAGGGGAAGAAGAGGATGTAGAAGAGCTCGTTGCCCAGCTCCGTGCCCAGGCTGAAGAGATAGTAGAGGAACCGGCTGCGGGTGGAGAACTCCTGGCTGCCGTCCTCCTCCGTGAGGGAGTTGCGGCGTGGCCTCC